ATGCAAGCTAGGAACAGAAAAAGACAAAGCAGGTGCAGGTGATGTAGGTGGAGGAATTGGTGAAACTGGAGGTGGATTGCCAAGATAATACGGTCCATCTTTCTGATGTCCCCTGATAATAATCTTCCTGGTACTCGAGTCCTGCAAATAACACGAATTAGATAAGAATACAATCGCATAGTAAAAATTTTTGGCTAACTGATGTACAGATAATAGATTCATGGCCAACTTTGGCGCATGAAAAATCGAATGTAATGTAAGGCCATCTGGGAGGCGGACTGTACCCCTACTAACAGGGGCATGTGTCCCATCTACTAATTGAACCTGTGTATGTAACTGCTCGTCAAAAGTGGTGAAGTGATGGGCCTCACCTGTCATGTGACCATTCGCACCCGAGTCCAACATCCAAAGGGGAGATGAACTGGCACAAGCGTGAAAGACACGAGGTATACCTGTAGTGGTGACAGCAGTAGTAGTCAGACTCTGAGAAGTCAGAGTAGACATAAGTATATCTAATCGGGAAGTGATAGCATCCATATCACTCTGCCAAGGTAGAGTAGTAGTAGTAGGAGTAGCGGTAGTGGGTGGTGATACCTCAGCAATAGCAACAGTACGGTTGCGAGGAGGCGGCTTAGGCTCTGGATGGAGCTTCCAGCAAGTAGTCCTGAGATGTCTTGGTCGGCCACAATAATCATATTGACGGGAATCCCCCTGTCTGCGCTGATCTGGGGCACCCTGACGGCGCTGATCCGAACGCTGCCCACCCCTGACTGAGGATCCTGAACGAGAACCTGCAACAACTGCAAGGGCCATCTGGTCAGCCGAAGGAGTCAAAGCCGCAACTGGAAGTGATGCAATACGGACTCGACGCTCATACTGCTCAATCATCCCATACACCTCATAAAAAGAAGGAAGTGTGAACATCGACAAGATCTGAGAACGAGGTCCCTCAAACTCATCACGAAACCCCATAAAGAACTTGTGAATCCTATCTTCCTGCTCTTGAGTATGCAAGATGCTGCTCCTTCGGGCTCTATTTCGGAATAGCATCAAGAGGACGTAGAGTCTCATACTCAAGCCAGCGCTGGGTCAAATAGCCATAATAATCCTGAACGGTCATATCTCCCTGTCGAGCATATAAGAGCTCCTGAGAAAGCTCATAAACACGAACTCCCCATCCTGACTGAGAATACATCTCTGATAATGTGCTCCATAGCTTCGGAACAGAACTATGAAACTGGTAGATCTTGCAAACAGATGGCTCCATTGAGCCATATAACCATCCAAGAATGGCACAGTTCTCAGAAAATCACGCAGAATATCCAGGGTCAGCATCAGCTGGCTTTGGGTGAGATCCCGTCAGCCAACCAAGCTTCCCTAAACGACCTAAGAAAAGTTGGAATGAGCGAGACCACCCAGCAAAGTTACGACCATTCAACAACTGCGCCGTAACTTTCTGAGAGATCATGCCCGGTAGTACTGGTAATGCAACTGTGCTAGTAGGTACTGTACACTGGTCAAACATAAAAGTGAAAGTACCCATAGATGTCTCAACGGTAGAGGTGTCAACAATAGGGTTCTCAAGTCTCTCAGTAGTAGCCATATCAACAACAATACTAGGGCACCTGTGACAGAAAAACAACTCTAAGATAAATAGAGGAATAAAATAAGGGAGAACAATATACCTTCAGTCGAACAGTAGCGACAAATAAAGAAGGTCCAAAAAGCTCCCAAATAATCAGGTCACGCTGCCCAGAAATCTAAAATATATAAATAAGTGATCTACTGTATCAAGGACAGATCAACAGAAAAGAGGATTCAACCCCTCTTAAAAGGGCGGAAAAAGAGGGTAGTGGCGCAAAGATATGGCAACACTACAACAAAGAATGTGGAGCACAAAGGTAAAACACGAAGCTGCGAGAAAGAGCGCGATTCGACAGTGGGCTGGTTTGCTGGCCGTATGTTTGGTTTGCTCGTTTGTTGTGGGTTTTGGGTTGGGCAGTGGGTTGGTTGGGCTTTGGGTGCAGGGTGTGTTATGTTTGCGGTGGGGCAATATGTTTGAGAAGGCAGCTGGTGCAATTTGGAATTGCTGTTTGGGTATGTTTATCGGTGGGGCAATATGTTTGAGGAGGCAGCCGGTGCAATATAGAGTTGCTGTTTGGGTATGTTTGTCGGTGGGGCAATATGTTTGTTGGTGGGTATTTTTTTCTGATTTGGTGAGGAGTTCTTTGCTGGTTTGTTAAGCAGTCGGTGCAATGGGTTATCGAAGGCTGTCGGTGATGGTGAGGAGTTCTTTGCTGGTTTGTTGGGCAGTCGGTGCAGTAGGGTGAGGCTGTCAGTGATGGGCTGGGTTTAGGATTTTCGGTGGCAGGCTGCTGGTCTGAGTTCGCTGGAGTGAATCTGTGCCGACTGACTGATTTGGTTGGTCTGGGCAGTCGTGTGTTAGGGTTAGAGTTGGTGGCTCTGATACCAACTAGAAATATTTGTGAGTGAGTGAGATACAAATTAAGTGTAGAGCCCCCGTATATATAGTCAATGAGAGTTACAATAAGGACAAAGAGGTAAAAAAAAAAAAACTTAATAAAACCCTAATAAACTAGGCTGCTGCTATATCTCTAACAGTGTGCTTAGGCTCTAGTTTTGATCCAGTTCAATTCTCAAGTGTTCCAAACATTAGTGTGTGCTAGGAAACATGTCAGATAACATAATTTAACTATGATTTAAATTTAATCCGTGGAATTGGATCACATGCAAGATCATATTCTAATATTCAACAATTCTAGTTCTCAATATGTAATTCAATTATGCATGATAGATAGGCTCAAAAACATGCTTTGCAAACGATATACAACAAAGAATAAGCAACACACGATACATTGTGGTTTGGCCAACCCCTTAGCCTACATCCACTCTTCCACCACCTAGGTGGGAGTCACTCCACCAAATGGGATTGTAAGCCAATCTTGTGGATTACAAAGGATCAATCCACTAGTCCACCTAAAACAGCCATTGCAAGGCACCACTAAAGGATGTGGTGAAGGTTTTCGTAAGATCCCCTACAACCTAACTCGGAAATTATTTTATGTAGGATTTGTGAAGGTGTGCTACAGTCCTATGTGGCATGTAAGAATGTCCTCAATGATCACACTTACCATTACAAGCTTTGGCCAAGGATGTGCTCTTCACAGTGAAAGCCAGGCTCGATTTGGGTGGAAGGGAAAAATAGTCATTTTTCCCTCCTTTCTACTTTTTCTTCAGTGTGGTGGATGAAATCCATCAAATTTCATCTACTAAGATAAAAGGGTATTCATAAGCTGAACTTCAATGAATAGCTTAACAGCTAGTTTTTGAACTGCCAAACAACCTAACCTAGAACTACTATCTCTATCATCCTTGAAAGTGTTCTACGGCCCTGTGTGGAATGCAAGAGTGTCCCTAATACACAATTAAGGGAAGAGGATCACATCCACAGTGAGAAGCTTTGACCAAGGATTTGCTCTTCACAGTGAACCATAAGCTCTCTTTTTGGGAGGAGGGACATAATGGTCTTTTTGCCCTCTCTCTCTCCTAGGTCTTCACTGTGGTGCATGAAGAATGGACCCCAATATCCATCAAACTTCATCTTTTAAGATGAAGAGGTATATATAGAGTGAAGTTCAATGGTTAGTTCAACAGCTAATTTTTCCCTCTGTCCAAAAGTCAGCAAAAGGCCACCAGCTTCAAGCACAGGCCAGTCCAGACCTAGGAAAGTGTGTCTAACCTACAAAGGTGATCACTTAGATTTAGACACTACTCCCTTTGAGGTTGAAGTCTTCCAAAAATTCTGAAGTTTGGCTCACGTACTTTGATCTGTGCTGTTGCAAGGAAGTTTCCAAGTTTGAGGCTTGCATCCATAACTCTTCCGAATCATGCTTTCGTCACAAATTGCAATACAACATAAAATTATAGTACAAGTCAGGAAATTGTTAATCTGTCCTAGAACTAATAATCCTTTTTGGCAATTTTCATGACAAAACTTAGATATGCAATGAGTATATGAATGGCCTACTCTACTACATAGACACCTCTACCACTGTGATGTCATCAGGTTCAAGCTGCGCGAGACTGCCCCCCCTAAAGCAATACCTTTCTGCCCTTTTTTGTCAAGAATTGCTAAATACCATTGTTTGTTATTTTTGTTTTATTTTTAACCTAAATACCATTTTATTTTATTTTTTATTGTTTGCTATTTTTTTTTTTTTTTGAATGGCATAAGTTTGTTATTGTCTTTATCTACTATTGTAGATTTAAAGCCTGGAGAGAAAGCCTTAGATTGGCCAACAAGAAAACGTATAGCTTTTGGTGCAGCCCATGGCCTGGAGTACCTGCATGATCATTGCAACCCTAAAATCATACACCGTGATCTAAAAGCTGCGAATATCCTCCTAGATGATGATTTTGAAGCTGTTCTTGGAGATTTTGGGCTAGCAAAAGTGGTTGATACAAAATTAACACATATTACAACACAGGTCCGTGGAACTATGGGGCACATTGCCCCTGAATATCTATCAACTGGAAAATCATCAGAAAAGACAGATGTGTTTGGATATGGTGTAACTCTTCTGGAACTAGTTACTGGTCAGCGTGCAATAGACTTCGCTAGGCTGGAAGAAGAGGAAGACGTTCTACTGCTTGATCATGTAAGTTCTTATTGAGCTAGCCCAATGCTTGATTCAAACATTTTGTTTGTTGTGCTGTTTTTTCATTCATTTTTTTTTTGTCACACAAGTTCTTATTGTTGTAGCCCAATGCCGGATACAAACATTATGTTTAAGAAAAACTATTTTTCTTATCTTTTTTAACCCATCAAGATGTTTTCTAGCCTTGAGAACAGTCACCAATTCTCTTATGCACAGGCAGTCCTCTCGTCCTAAATCTCCTGGGCACCGGGCGTTGTTATTTTTTTTCTGGGTGGCAGAAACAAGCAAGGAACCTAAGTTCAATAATGGTTTCTATAACGGATGCAGGTGCGTGGGTGACCAACCTTATTTGTGGGGCCCAAGTTTTTTATGATGGACGTGACTCAGTTTTCTCATTATAAAGAGCCACTTTGTTCTCTACTCATCCTTATCCTAATGCTTCCCTTCTTGCTCAAACAAAACTCCCAAGGTCATTGCACATTTCTCTTACAATCAACCTCACTGCACATATTTCTCCCTCCCTCTCTCCCTCCCCTTCTCTCTCTTCCCATCCCCTCCCTCCATCCCTCCCTCTTTTCTATCTTGCGAATTCCTTTGCATTCTCTAGAAAACTTAGTTTTTGTGGAAAATTAGAGTACTAATCCGTATATTTCATTGCCAACGGTAAACTCCTTAAATTTACAGTTGAAACAAATTCTTGTGTAGTAGGATACGGGGAGAGAATTAGAGGCTGAGGTGAGCAACATGGAAGGAGGGAGAACGGGTCAGTACTTTCCACAAAAGAAATTCAGGGTGGCTTTCTATTGATCTGCTAAAAAATAACACCCAGTTTACTTCACATGAATGAGGGAGGGTCTGTTATTGATTTCTTCTGGGTATTAATTAGTGTAATTACACATTATGGCACATGTTTTCGGCTGCGTATTACTTATTATGATTACACATTCTTGCACGTGTTTTGGTGGGCTGTTTTGTTTTTCTGTTGGTCAGAGATGTCAAGGCATGCTTGTTGGATGTAATGTCTTTTGTATGCCAAGTAACTGAAATTGTTTACATATGAATCATTCAGATCAAGAAACTGCTGAGAGAAAAAAGGCTCGAGGACATCGTAGATAAAAACTTAATAACTATGATCCCAAAGAGGTCGAGACAATCATTCAGGTTGCATTGCTCTGCACCCAAAGTTCACAGGAAGATCGTCCCAAAGATGGCAGAAATTGTAAGCATGCTGAAGGGGTGGGTTTGTCGGAGAGATGGGCCGAGTGGGAGCAGCTTGAAGAAGTAAGAAATCAAGAATTTTCCCTCATGTCTCACCAATTTGCTTGGGCCGAAGAATCCACACATGACCAACAAGCTATTCAGTTGTCAGAAGCAAGATAGTGAGTTTCCAATGTAATTAATGTAAAAGATAAATTGCATACCGGGGGATTACTCTAATTTTAGAGAGATCTGTTTCTATTGACGAATAATAGTAGTAGCTTATTAACAAATTTTACACGGTATTGTATCTATCCGTTTCACCACCAGCTTTCTTATTTCAGAGTGTAGGAAGGTGATGGT